AAAAAAAAAACATCGAAATTCATTTAAAAATGATAGTGATGGAACTCACATGGTGGTAAGATCCGCACAAATTCGGCCATACAATTTCGACCAGTTCCCGTTCACATCGCCAAGTGATTTCCCGTTGGCAGTAAGCCACTTGCAAACACTGTTCAGAATCTGTAAATCGGGAGTTTCTCCGCGCAACCGCGATGCTTCTAATGCCGATATAACCAGACTTTTCTCCGCACAGCTCAAGCTTGGGCTAAAAATATTTGCTTACATACGGACAGTTGAGGCTTGGGCTGGCAGTGAATTCTGATCTGATGTAGAAATTCGAAACAAGAGTCCCCTAGAAATCAGAAGGAGAACATTTAACGAACGAACCGAAAATAAATTTAAAATAGCGCAACAGCTTACCGAGTTTCACTGTTAACGAACGCTGCTACGAGGAAGTCCCAAAATTTGAGCATAATACGGCTTGGCTGTGAAAACGCTGAAGGAAAAGCGAAACCCAGTTTCGGCAACTGCTTTTCCATGCTGACTGTTTTTTGCTTTGACCACAACGATGCAGTTATTAATAATACCTGAGAAAGCGCTTTTATTCAGTCAGTTGGTAAAATTTCACATACTGCAAAATGAATCTCGCAATGCCAGTAAATTATCAATTTAACTGTTCTCAAATCAAGCCTGCAACTGCCAAATAATGGCCTTTTTTTAATCAGAAAAGATTTCTCCGAAAATTTTTTTTTTCCGAAATATGATCTCGAAGGTTTTTATCGAACCAGCAACACCAAACTTATTATAAGTTTTATGTCTTTGCATTCAGTGGGAAGGCACATGCCAATTAGTACATCAGCAGTGCCCAATTCATTATACTTCATAAGTTCTCAATGACCCATACATGTGTGAGCAGTGTCATCACAGCTATAAGGCAGCAAGAACTATTAAATGAGCAATAACATAAGTGTCATTACTTTACACGCACCATCTTATGATCTTTTATTTTCTTATACGTTTTTTGCATCTAAAGCAAAACGCATACTGTGGAAATATATGTTGTATTTGGGTGGGTGGGTGTGGGTGTTTGTGTGTGTACGGGTGTGTGTATGTGTGTGCGCATTTCCCGGATGCGTGTATTTTTCAGCACATTTGTTCTCCACATCTACGAAAGCTATGAAACTGAAATTCTGATACGCATTTCCCAGTGCGTGTATCTTTCAGCACATTTTTTTTTCCACATTTACGAAAGCTATGAAACTGAAATTCTGGCAACTTATTCTACCGTTACGGGTGTGTCTTCCGGCATAATGTGAGCATCCACGCCCTCCTCAAGTGCAAAAAAGCGGGAAAAAATTCTGCAAAAAACGGCTTCGAGAACAAGAAAAGCTGAAATTTTACGACGATTTTTCCTGTCCACCTCAAAGGTCTAACTGATTCAATGCTGGCACCGCAACAATTTGAGAATCAAGCAGGGTTAGGGTTTTTACTATTATGTTTGGTGTCCATGTGAGGGTAAAATAAAGTCCCACATCTCTCTGTGCACGAGCACGTGAAACTTCTCACTGACAATTTTGTAATTCCACAACCAAAGTAGCTAAAGTGCTGAAACCTCGTGAGTACGGCCAAAATTAACCTTGAGAAAGCGTATATAAATAAAACTTTGACGCCCTCTTACATCCTACGTACGAACAGATCGAAAACGATGTTGCTATTTATATAACTACGCAACTAAAATACCAAGGATGCAAAAATTTTGGTTCACAACAACACGTAAGTACAAATGAATCGATATTTTCAACATTTCATGCACAGACACGTGGAAAATTGATTTTAATGATTTCTGTAACTAAACTAGCCCCGCAGCCGAAATTTTGTTGGCATGATCCGTAACAGTGTACGGATAAATATACATTAACCCAGTTTTCACATCCTCCATACCTCCTCATGTGCGGACACGTGCGGCTGGTGTTGTCATTTTTGTACTTCAGTAACCAAAACAGAAACTTTTTTTTGTGAACTTTATCCAAGACTATGACTGAATAAGTAGTACATGGAATTCCCAAGTTCCCTAAATCTAAACTTTGGAAAAGTGGAAGTTGACAGAAGTTGACATACACTGCTTTGTAACTGGTTGTGCAAAAAACGCATGATCGCATCAGTAATCCTGGTAAGCGCCGCCAATTATTTTCAGCTTTCAGACTAAAAGAAGTATCTGTATTGCTTGTTGAACGTACCTTGACGTCCACTTTGCTTAGCGACAACTCCGTGAATAATTGCAAATCTCCATCGGAATTGCCAACAGGTAGATTTTTTACAAACGGATCCAAAAACGAGACTGAAACTGATTAACATTTCATCACGCCAAAATCTGACCCAAAAATTATCAAAGAAATGCCTGATTCAAAAAAAAAAGTGATGAATCCATCATTCCAGTGCGCAAAATAAGAGCGCAGCAGCGTATCTGCTTCCCGAGATTAGGAAATCGGAAATTTTAACAAAATCGTCCAAAACCAGCGTCTCTAAATCTAACAGTTTGCTCATCTGCGCAATTAAGGCAACTTTTGGCTACCAGTTACTTTCCCATGGCTGAATTTCGCATTCTCTGTTCAATCATAAAACAAAAGAAGCCAAACAGAACTCCATTACTCATTCGCATTGAAAGATGCAGCACGGACGATAAGACGTACCAAGAACGACAGCCCGCAAGGCTGCCAGCGACTGCTTCTTTAAAAGCTGCTTAGAAGCAAGCTAATGCTGGTACCACGACGCCTTTCAGTACTAATTTACCA